ATGTGTAGTGAGCTAGCAAACCAGGGCCAGGTGAGAATCCTGGCCACAGGAACCTTCATTTTATCCACATATGGTTAGCCAGCAACCACAAAAACCTCAGCCATACCCATGAGCTCCATGCTGTGTATACCAGACATGTCAGACTGTGTAACATACACCAACACTTCTTTCAGTGGACTTCTTTCTGTTCTGCAGTAACTGGTTTACTATCTGGTACACTGTCGAAAAGTGCATTATTTCATAGAGCTATTTCTTAACATGTGAGGTCTTCTGGCTCCTTATTTTCCCATACATCTTGGTTTTTAAAAAACCTTTGTTATTACTTATTTTTAAAACCAAACTTTAAAATACTCTAGCTGCAACCTTATATTATTAAAGGAAATCTTAAAAATAAAGAAAAAGAACAACAAACTTATAATCCTGCCACCCTATCAAGTATTTCATTTTGTCACATTCCCTCTCTCTGTACACCTGTATGTAATTTTTACAAAGTTGTAATCATACTGTGATTGCAATTTATAGCTTTGTTTTTGACATAATATTCACATTGTTCAAAGTTTTAGAAACCCTGGGAGGAGTATAGGTGCCACAGGTGGTGCCACATCATAGGTCACTGAATGACTGAAGGTCACACAATCAAGGAAAGGGGATGTGGGCCGGAAAAAAAACTGAGTCGGAGGTCAGGAAGGCCGAGCCGAGCCAGGGAGGTCTCACCACGTTTGTGGGTCTGGAGCAAAGATTGCCTCGTCCCCTGGCACAGCTCAGCATGGCCTCCCTTGTCAAGGAAGTTTCTATCCAAGTAAGACCTGCTGTGTGGCTCCCCCTATTTGTCTAAGATGTTCACTGTCAGCAGGCAAGCTCTGAATGTTAATGTTTTATCTTGAGAATTTTTAAAGAAATTGCCTTTTCTTTTAACTTGTTTTCTAGTCACCTCTTTTAATAATGCCCAGATCTACCTGTGGCTTGTGGAATCACTGTTACCTCTAAGGCAGCTATAGTTGTTGACATCAGTGTAATAATCACTGCAAGGACCTGTTTTGCATAATTAATGCTTTGTTAATATATTAGCATTTGTGAGCAATATTCAAAACAGGCTTGAATCACTGGACTATATTTTGAATTTATTAACACTACGTTTTATGTCTTTGCCAAAGGCCTGGACTAACAGAATTTGTTTCACCTCCTTTTTATATTATAATTGAAATACTTTCTTAAAAAATTACAAAGGTAATACAAGGTGATATTTAAGAGAAAAAAACCTATATTATGGGAAATCTCAAGCATATATAAAACTAGAGAGAATAGTTTAGTGAATCCCTATTTTCTCACCACCCAGCTTCAACAGTTAGCAACACTTTGCCATTAAAATTTTTAAAAAATTTGAGTTTTAGAAAATGGAAGTTTTATCCTGTGTAGTACAGGAAGAATGTTTTATTATTTAACATAAATTAGGATCATTATATAGGTACTGTTTTGTAACCTGTTAAGACTCAAAATATATTGGATATCTTTTCATGTCAATACATGGAGGTATAAATTGACCTGATTTATTTTAACATCTGTATAGTATTACATTGTACGGATGTATCATGAATTATTTAAGCAATCCCAAATGATGTACATTTAGGTTATTTCCAGATGTTCATTGCTATAAATATAGTATTTACATAGCTCTAGTATTCTTCCTGTTTGAATTCTTATCTGATGATTTCCTTGCATTAGATTCTAAAAGTGTAATAACTGGTCAAAAGTTAAGCACACTAAAAATTTTGATACACAGTCCTGGATTGCCCTTAGCAAGGTTGAACCAGTAATTTACATTACAAACAGCAATGTATATTGGTGCCCATTCTTCCACATCATCACCAAAACTGGCAAGCCTTCTTTGGGTTATTCAGAAGCATATTCAATAAGGAGGGCAAAGTAGCCCCACTTGTTCCTTATGTGAAATTCTTAAGAATTCTAAGAATTTAATATGTGTAACAATGAGTTTTTTTAGAAACTATACTTGACAGTATATTAGAAGATTATTACTTTTCAATGTACTTCTTTACTTTTAAGTGCTAATATGAACTAAGTCATCCTGACAACTGAGCCAATAGAAATTTTTGTAATGAGTTATTTAAAAACATCCAAGATAAATGCTTATTTTTAAACCAACATTTTCTCTAGATTCACAGTATTCTAGTTTTGTTTCTTTGCTTTTCTTTGATAATTCTGATAACATAAAACTTTAGAGGAAAAACCCTGTAGATACTAAACATCCAACTTTGTTCCTCAATTGTTATGACCTTTGGATTTTGATCCTGACCTGGAATTTCCAAGTAAGATTTTTATAAAGAAAAAAAATCAACCCTTGCAACATAGAAAAGGAGATTTAAAAATTCACTGTTAGCCTATATAAAGGATTATGTAAAAACTTGTGTACCTAACAGTGCTTCTTATGTGGTTGTAGAAGGCATTGTTTCTGTATTGTATAGGATCTGAGGATGAGATTGTCTTCCTGTTTAACTGTTTCCTTTTATGGAAGTTAGGAGTAATGTAATTAGATCTATTTTATAGATCATGAAACTGTGCTTCAGTGTCCTGCAGCTTATTCATACTCAACCTGTGAGAGGCATAGAACCATAGTCTCATCTTTTAATACTATTTGAACTGTTACATTATAAAAAGGAAAAGTATTATAATGACCATGTTGCCTTTTAAAAGGTAGAAGGCTGTACTTAGGAGGCAGTTTATTTATTATACTTTGAAATCAAAGGAGGCCAAAAGAAGCAGGACGTAGCTTCTGGATGAGCTCCGTGAACAGGGCAGTTATATGATAAAGCTAAGTAGAAGGTCAAGGTGAGGCTACTTGTGAGAGCAGAGTTCAGCACTAACTCTTAGATTTTTTGTTCTTTCTTTCAGGAAGCAGTTGGCTATCTTGACTGATCTAGTGAAAGATTTACCCTTGGAATTTGACTTCCTCTTTTCACAGTCTCAGGCCGAAGTGATCTCTGGGAAGCAGGAAGGTACTGAGCCTTGGGTGCACTGGCTCACCTCGCAGCCAGCCTCGATACAGGCTCCTCAGTGGGCGTTAGGATTACATTGTGTGTCTGATTTTTGTTTTTCTGCCAATGATTTTCTTGCTTCTGTTACATAGTTTGATTATTTGCATATTCTGCATTGTACCTGTTTTAGAATGATGCTTCTAGAAATCATAAATTTATATGTGTTTTTATATTTGTGCTAATACTGTGTTTATAAACATTTATTATTATTTAAAGATGATTCCAAATGGGTACTTAATTAGCTAATTGTAGATTTCAAAACATACTTCTATGTTGAACTGAATTTTCCAAATTCAAATATAAAGCAAATTATTAAAGTAAGGGGAAATTTTAATTTCAGGGAATGATCAGGATGAATTACTTTTGTTACGGGCTTTCCCTTTATTGCATTTACTATGCAGTATTGATACTCTCTGAAAGCTTGCATATAGTAGGTTATAGTTTTGGGGTGGAGTTGAATGTGGGTTCTCACGTAGCCCAAATGTGGCCTATATGATGCATTATTGTTCATCATAAAGAACAATAATTGAAAAAGAGAAATCTTTTATATAATTGGGGATCACATGAGGGAAAAGATTTACCTTTTTCAATTTCAGTATTACATTTTTCAGTCCTAAAATTTCCAGTTGGTTCTTTTTTATATTCTATTTTTTGCGGAGACTTTCTATCTTTTTATTCATTGTAAGACTGCTCTTGTTTCTTGGTTATATAGCTGCTTTAATATCTTTGTCTGATCATTCTAATATCTGTGTCATCTTGGGATTGGCATCTTTTCCCTTTGGAGTCGAGATTTTCCTAGTTCTTTCTATACCAAGTAATTTTTTATTGTATCCTTGACATTTTTAATATTACGTTATGAGGCTCTGGATCTTGTTTCAATCCTAAGGAGAATGTTGATTTTTCTTGTTTTAGCAGGCAGTTGACCTGGTTAGGTTCAGGTCTCAAGTTCTGACCCCTTCATTGAGCTGTGATTCTATTGATTACTATTTGAATTTGTCCTATGTGTGTCAGCTAGTGGCCAGTGTGGAACTTGGGCATAGCCCATACAATGTGTTGTCTCACCAATAGTTTGGTTCTCATAACCTTTGATAAAGTTGCTTAGAGTCAGGTCCATGCATGTGTAGCTTGGAGGTGAGCCCAGCAGTTCATATACCATTTTATTCCAACTCTCCAGGGACTCTCTGACTTCCTGATGCTTTCCTGTTCTCCAGGTCTCACTTTCATGGTGCTCTGGTCAGAAAGCCAGGCCTTTAGTCTGCCCACTCTGTCTTGCATTTCCCGTGATTGCATCTGCACCCAGGGCTCTGTGGTAGAGGACAAAGGGAGAAAAATAAGCAAATAGGGATTTGCCCCAACTCTTGAGGCCACAGCTCCTCTGATCTGGGAGGAGTCACATCCCTCAGAGTTTAGCACCTGCTCACATTCTGCCTCCACTGCTTGTGCGATTGCCTGGGGTAGGAGAGAACAAAAAAGAAAAAATAGGGGGGGAGTTTCCACTACTCTTTCTGAACTTTCAGAATCCCCTTTTCTGTTCCTTGGACCAGAAAGCAAGGTCTTCATTTCCTTTCTGTCCACTCCTGGTCTGTCCTTCTGTGTTTCAAGCTCCATTTGAGTCCAGACCAGGTAATATCTGAGGAGAAAAAAATGGGAAACTCATTACTGGTTTGGTGATTCTTTAAATTATGATCTCTGTCCCAGTATGCCTACTATTACTAACTTTCAGAGTTCTCAGGAACCTGCTCCATACATTGTCTAGAGTTTATACTTGCATTTGGTGGGGGATACCAGGTGGAATGTGCTTATTCCATCTTGCTGAGAACCTAAAGTCCAACATTTACATTTCTACCATTTATTTTTACACATTAATTCCTACTCATTGTAGGAAATTTAGAAAATGCAAGTAATTTTATTTACTTTTATTTTTTTATTTTTATTTTTGATGAAGGCTGGTTCATCTCCATAGCTTTATTGACCTGTGTAGGTTCATGTTGGGTGATTAACCGGCCAGGGGACAAGCCATCAGGATGAAAATACAAGTAATTTTAAAAGGGAAAAACATCACAAGATAAAAGATTTTAAATTCATACACTGAAAGTGGAGTAAAATACTTCCATTACTTTGTTCCAAGAAAAGGAAGAAAAGGGCAGTTCCTGGGGAGAGATGTGTACATGGCATGGCAGTAGAGAATTAAGTGAGGGCTTTTTATTTCTTTCTTAGGGGTTTATGCATGGATTGGAATTAACTTTGTGCTGGGAAGATTCGACCATGAGGATGGTGAGTAATACTGTCATGACAGTTCTAAGCGCTGAAGATTTATGTCTTAACTTACAGTCTGGAAGTGCTAATTTTAGGTTGTTCCTTTTTTAAAACTTAAGATGCTTCATTTTCTAGTCCTAATTTGCTTTCTTTCATTTCTCTTTAACTTTTTAATATGGGAAGTTTCAAACATTCACAAAAGTAGAGTAAATAATAAAATGAACTTCCATCAACCCATTTCCCAGACTCAATGCTTGTTAACAGTTTGCCATTTTTTTTGTCCCCATAGTCCCTCCACACAGCACAGTTTTTTCCCTTTTGGATTTTTAAAAGCAAGGCCGAGACATACCATTTTATCTTCGCGTGCTTCAGTATATATCTCTAACAGATACGGAGTTTCAAAACAATATCCACATGCTATTTTTAAACTTAACAAAGTTAACAATTCCTAATATCATGTAGTATCATATACTACTCAGGTAGAGTCTCCTGATTGTCTCAAGAATATTTATTTGTCATTGTCATGTTAAAATAAGAATATGAACAAGAATCACAAATTACATCTGATTGATACCAGTTTTAATCTGTAACAGTTAATCTCCCCCCCAACCTCTTTTTTTTTCCAAATTATTTGTTTAAAATGATACAAAATAAAACAAACCTGGGTGGCTGATAGAATGAATTTGCCACATTGTGGATCTGGTTGACTGCATCTTTGTTGGGTCTTTAACATGTTTCTCATCCCACTTTATGTTCTATAAATTGGAGATTAGATATAGAAGCTTGGTTAGACACAGATTCAGCTCTTTTGGTGAGAATAAATCATAGGTGGTGCTAAATATTTGCTACTACATCATGATATCAGGAGTTTTGTAGTGTTTCATTTTCAGTCATGTTAAGACTGATCAGATATTCAGGTTCAAGTATTGTAAGCCTGATCTAATCTATTATAAAAATTGCCCACCAATTAAAGAAGATGTGGTACATATACACACAATGGAATACTATTCAGCCATAAGAAAGAAACAAATCCTACTATTTGCAACAGCATGGATGGAGCTAGAGGGTATTAATGCTCAGTGAAATAAGTCAGGCAGAGAAAGACAAATACCAAAGATTTCACTCATTTGTGGAGTATAACAATGAAGCAAAACTGAAGGAACAAAATAGCAGCAGACTCACAGACTCCAAGAAGGGACTATTGGTTGGGAGGGGTGGGGGAAGGTGGGTGGGCAGGGAGGGAGAGGGGGATTGAGGGGTATCATGATTAGCACACATCGTGTGGTGGGGGACCATAGGGAAGACAGTGTAGCACAAAGAAGACAAGTAGGGACTCTGTGGTATCTTACTACACTGATGGACAGTGTGTGCAATGGGGTATCCGGGGGACTCAATAAAATGGGTAAATGTAGTAACCACATTGTTTTTCTTGTGAAACCTTCATAAGAGTGTTAATCAGTGATACCTTAATAAAAAAAATTGCCCATCCATTTCTCATTCAATGTTTATTATAGCCAATTGTAATCATTGCTTAGATCTGTTTTATCATGAGAGGTTTCCAAATGGTGAGTTTTCTAATTCTACATTTTTATTCCTTCGGCATTTAACAGTTGGGATTTTTATATAACAAAATTTTCTTCATTAACTATTTGGTTATCCTGAAATACAATTCTTTTGGGAGAGACAGAATAACTCCTTGATTCTTTCCTTTTTGTCAAGTTTTTGAATGATGAGTTGGTGTTCTAGCAACCTCCAAAGATAGTTCCAGTACGAGCACCTTTAGGTTGGCTCTTGTACCCTTTTAACATGATCCCAATAGTCTCTTATATTTCTGTTGTTTTTTTGGCATACGAGGTGCTCCATGCTCATCTTGTATTTTTTCTATCCTAGGCCTGGCATTGACCATTTTTAAAAGGAGCCTTGGTTTCTGTAGAGGAAAATGATATTCAGAGATCATGGTCTAGATGCCAGAGGTGCTCATTGCTCCTTGGTTATCATTACTTCTAGGCCTTTCCAGTGGACAGAGCTATGAAATACATATTTTTTAGAAAAAGAAAAATCATTATTTCACAGTAATAATTCCAGTTCATATTTAAGATTATGTTATTTCTTAATTTCTTTGATTTTGTTCTTATATTCTTTTTCTCTTATGCTATTTGCTCCTAAACATATTAATGTAAACATTTATTTGCTTTATTACAGAATATATGTTTAACGGTTTAAAAATAATAATAGTAATAATATTATTACCAATAAGAGTACTAGAATGCAGTTTAAGATATTTACTTGTTTCTATTGTTATTAAGATATATTCTGTAGGAACATATAGTCAACATGCCTTGTTTTAAGTCATTTGAAATTCTCTGTGTAATTTATAATTGATACAGTTACATTAATTTATTTCAGTTTGCTTTTCAATTTCTTGAGGGATTTTTGTTTCTTTTTCCTGTAAGACTTAATTATGCTTTTAAATTACTTCACCCCTTCTGTTGCCTTATTTATTACAGAATCAGATGCTGAGGCACCCCAGGAATTGGCGATGGGACGCAGAAGGACAGTGGGGATACTGGATATGGGAGGAGCCTCTCTCCAAATTGCTTATGAAGTTCCTACCTCAACCTCTGTCCTTCCTCCAAAACAGGTATTTTACCTTTCAGGGAAATTCAGTTGCTAGGAATATCAGTATTTGAGAAAGAAGGGCACTGTCTTTGTACTTAAGCCAACTTGCCTGGGTCCAAATATTTGTTCAAATACTTGCTAGCTTGTGTTCTATTGGGTAGGTTACCTCCCTGAGCCTTCGTTTGCTCATGTGTCAAAAGGAAATAATAAAAGTATCTACTCCATAACATTGTGAGGATGTATAAAGCTCATGTATAAAGCACTTAACAGACTGCCCAGCATGTGGTAAATGGTCAATATATTTTAGCAATTATAATTATGCTACGCATCTCCTAGGGCTTCCTGAGGATTAAACATGAGAATACATATAAATCCCAGAGCAGTATTTGATACATACTTGTTCATTAAATGTCATTCCCTTTCCCTTACTGATGATTACATTCTTATGCTTCTAATATTCTTTACTTGACTAGAATGTATTTTGAGGGAGAGGTTTCATCATATTAAGGAAAAAGAAATACATATTTTGAGTGCCTAGTATGCACAAGGAATGAGACATGTTACTCTCTCCCCAAAAGCTTATAATCTATCAATGAAGGCAGCCTGTGATATCAGGCAGACCGTTACAGTGCTACATTAATGATCTAAATCAAGGTTTCTCATCATTGGCATTATTGACATTTTGGGCTGGCTAAATCTTTGTTATAGAGGTCTCTCCCATACATCATATGATATTTAGCATCATGCACAGCCTCTACCTCCCCACCCGTGCCAAATTCCCAGTTTTCACAATCAAAAGTGTCTTCAGACGTAGCCAAATATCCCTGGAGTTGCAAAATCACCCCTGGTTGAGAACACTGTGTCAAAACAGAGGGCTGTGGTGGGGTGGAAACTGGCGGGGTCTGCTCCATTTGCAAAGGCTTGAATGGGAGCCACGCTGGCTTCATAGAAGGTGAGGTATTTACCTGGCCCTTGGGTGAAAGGCTTTTGCATACTGGAGGTTGAGGGAAGCCATCTGCATGGAGGGAGCAGTATGAACAAAAGCACAGAAAAAGTAGCAAAATGTCCAGAATGTCCAGGAAATGTTGAGTAGCCTGTTGTAGTATAGGGTTTTCAAGGTAGTGATAGGTAAGACTGGGAAGATAAGATGAAGTTGAGAAGTTTTCAGTGCCATGCTATGGAATTTGACTTTTATATCTGTAGACGGTGGGGAACAGCAAACGTTTTTGAGTAGAGCGGTCAAGTGGGCCTCATTTCAGAATTTATTAAATACACTCTGAAGGTCCTTCCTACGTCTGAATTTTGTAACTATGTTAATTCAATAAAGTCTGTTTTTTAGGAAAATAATTTTGGTGTCAGTAGTAGAAAGAAATTAAGTCAGGGAACCTTGGGTGAGAAGTGATGTAAGTGGAAATGGAATGGAAGGCACAGATTTCAAGGGATATTTTGGAATAAAAAAATGTCATGTGGTAGTGTGAGTAGGGCAGGGAGGAATGGCAGGTGGTATTGAGGGTCCAGCCTAGATAATCAGAAGGGTGAGGAACCCTGTCACTGAGAGAGACCACAGGGGAAAGGTCAGGATTGATGCTAAGCAAACCAGTATGGTCCTGGTAGTTTGAATGAGAGCCTGTTTCTGGTCTCTAGTACAACTGCTACAACCAATGAGTTCAGTTTTGGGTATGATGCGTTTGAGATATCTGAGGACCATATGTATCCAGATATCCAGCAAGATTGTTGGAAATGTAGATTTGGCAATCAGCAGAGAAGTCTGTGCAAGGGTTGGAGATGTGGGGAACTAGGTTGTGAGACTTTTTCGCCTGCCTTTATTAGTGTGTATTCAACAGGTAAAATGAAAGCATAGTTCTGATAAGTGGTGTTGAGCCTTAGAAGTCTTAAACAAATGACCTTTTATGTGTGCACGTTTAGAAAGCAACACTGGTATAGAAGTATACTTGCAAGCAATCGATTAGATGTACACAGAACAATATAATAGATTTTGAGATGGATCTTAGTGCTTGTAAGGATAAAAACAATGAGATGGAGCACAAAAGCACTTTAAAAGATTTAAATAATCTTAAATGCCTAACTCATTTTTTGGTACAAATCACAAAGTTGTGCATATTCACAGAGTAATGCAACCACCACTATCAAATTCCAGAACATTTTTATCACCCCAAAAAGGAACCCTGTATGTATTAGCAGCCACTTGCCATTCCCCTCTCTTTAGCCCTGACAACCACTAATTTACTTTTTGTTTCCTATGGATTTGCCTATTCTAGGTATTTCATATAAATGGAATCATACAGTATGTGGCCTTTTGCATTTGACTTCTTTCACTAGCAAAATGTTTTGAAGGTTCATGCATGTTGTAGCATGTATTGGTACTTCATTCCTTTTTATAGCTGGATAATGTTCCACTGTACGACCATGTCATGTTTTGTTTATCCATTCATCAGTGGATGGACATTTAGGTTGGTTCTAGTCTTTTGGATATTATAGGATAATGCTGTGAACATTCATGCATACATTTTTGTGTAGACATAAATTTTCAGTTCTCTTGAGTATATACTTAGGGATGGAATTGCTGGGCATTATTTTCCTAAATTAAAACTACATTCAAAACAAGAATCCCATTTTGTAACAATACATACAAAGAAATATTACACACTGAGTGCATTAAAATGGTTGCCTGTGCTGGGGAGCAGGAATGGGAGGAGATAAAAGGGTATGAGGATAAAAGGAAGTAAATAAATAAAATAAAAATGGGACTTTGCCATGATAATGTGCCATGAAATAAGGACTATGATTAATTCAACCTCTGTACCTGAAGTCCTCCCCACCCCCCAAAAATAGAGCACCTTTCTATTTTTTCCAATTCCCAAATCTATCACAGGGGACATTAGGGCTTCTGAAATAGTTTTGGAAAAGACCATAGGTTAGGTCTCATAATGATTTTCCAAAGTTCCTTAAATTTATTTTATCAAAGGATTTTTTTTCTGGATCATAAAAATATTACATTCCCATTTTAGAGACTTGGAAAATCAGAAAAGTACATGCCAGCAGGTAATGATTACCTTCTATGTAACCATAGGTAGTGTTTTAGTCTCTAATTTGGTATTTAGTCTCAGATTTGAACTTTTTGGTGCAGTCTTGTCATTTTGTGTCTTTGTTTAGAATAGTGCTATGAGTGCGGAAGAATGCTACAAGGTGGTTTAAAGAGTGCTCATAGCACATGAAGCCTGGTGTCTTAGCAATGTCATAGCTTCCTAGGAGCGAACCAAAACTAAAACTCTGTATTTTCCCTTTACACTATATTCTAGGAAGAAGCTGCAAAGGTCCTGCTGGCTGAATTCAACCTGGGCTGTGATGTGCAACACACCGAACATGTGTATAGGGTCTATGTCACAACCTTCCTGGGTTTTGGGGGCAACTTTGCCCGGCAGCGCTATGAAGACCTTGTGCTGAATGAAACCCTTAACAAAAACAGGTGCATTTGACATGGGATCTGTGTTCTGCAATAGAATGTCTGTCGGGGTGCAGATATTGGGAAGAAATACTCATATCCTACTAAGATAGATATGTCCTTCTTCCTTCTTCCTGACCACAGCCACCAGTGGGGTGGCATCTCTTACAGACCTTCTATTATTAGACCCCCTATTCTGATCCTTGTTATTGGGACTCACAAACAAGTACAACAGCTTATTTTAATGACCACAGACTTTAAATAGCTAGAACTGTGTGACAGCCATGGTGGGAATCAAAACCTGCCCCTCCCTCTCAGAGCCAGGCATGTACTCCATCCCTATTGCCAGCTGTGGCCGCTGCACCATGGATGTAGCTCCCACTCAGGAAACAACCCCAAGCCTTTGTGTTTTGCCTCCTCCCAGTTGTTTTTTAAACATTAGGGCTGCACTCAGTGTGGTGAGATCTTGGCACTTTTAGAGACAAGTGTGAATGAAGACTGGATGGAAAACAGCAGATTCATATTTCCAGTCTCACATACACTGGGAAATATACCTGTTGACTGAAAGGTTGAACAAAATTGATCACTGCCATGTTTCTCTGTCTCTCTTTTTTCTAAATAGAATTTGCTTCAGTTAAATGTTCAGGTGATACAGTTGCATGGTATCACTCCATCCTTGTTTCCAGGGATGTCACATAGAACAAGACATCTGTGAAGCCCATTCTGAGACCAGAATGCCTTCCTTAAATGAGGCATCCTTAGAGTAGGTCAAGTACAGTAGTGATGTGTTTTGTTTTTGTCATGGTGACAGGTTGCTGGGCCAGAAGACAGGTCTGAGTCCTGACAATCCATTCCTGGATCCCTGCCTGCCTGTGGGGCTCACAGATGTGGTGGCGAGGGACAGCCAGGTGTTGCATGTCCGAGGACAAGGAGACTGGGTGGCTTGCGGGGCATTGCTGAGGCCCCTCCTGGCTCGCTCCAACACCAGCCAGGCCTCGCTGAACGGCATCTACCAGTCACCAATTGACTTCAACAACAGCGAGTTCTATGGTTTCTCTGAGTTTTTTTACTGTACAGAGGATGTGTTGCGCATTGGTGGCCGCTACAATGGGCCAACATTTGCCAAAGCTTCTCAGGTAAATTATTAAAGATAAAGAAGACTAATGACAGCAGCAGCCATTTATCAGGTATATGACTTTGTGCCAGATGCTGTGCAAAGCGCCTTGCATGCGTGATTTCACTAGGTCCTTCGCAGGAGTGGTGTGAGCCCTCATTTTACAGATGAGGACGTGGATTTGAGAAATTAAGGAAGCTGTTGTGCTATACTGTCTTCTAACTTATTAAGTAAGCGTAGGTTTCTCTGGATATCCTTGTCACCCATATTATCACCCAGCTCCCAAATTGTGGCTAATGGCTTTTTCTCCAGCTTCCCAATTGTCTTGTTTAATATTTGTGGCCAAAAATTGTCATCTCCAGATATTTTTTTTCCTGGGTGTTCCAGTTGTAGTAGGCTTTTGGAGATGATGTCACACAGGTGGGTGAGTCCACTTCCATTTTTTTGGCTTAAGTTATCAAGAGGCCAGAGTGGCATAGGGTCACATGGAATATTAGATAGACACTGCAAAAAGCAGTGATAGTGGAAGTATTATTATTTTATTGATATTATTTATATAAAATTATATTATTCAAAAACTACATTATTTTTAATTATTAAATTTAAAATACAAAAGAAGTAAAAATCCACTTAGAGCCTATATAGAAATTAAACATATGATAGGCTGAAATCATTAGTTACCTGGAAAGATAAAAGCTAGCTAGCTTTCTGTAGTTCCTGCTTTAATTTAGGTTCAGCACTGAATTTTTGCATATTTGATTTCTCTTACTGGAAGAATCTGTCCTCTTTTATATTTTTTATTCCTTCCTTTCTACTTTCTTACAATTCTCAAGTGTCCTCTTGGTAGAAGACTTACAATGGAATAATATCTGCAGTATGTATCCTGTTCAGCTCCCTAAGGCAGTCCTTAAATACTGAGGAAAACATGATTTGTGTTTGCTCTTTCCTTTCTAGCCTCCAGGAATACCCCCAAATTCCCTTTGCTTTCCAGCCCCCAGGGTTCCCTAACTGTCCATGGCCTGAATCTTTCATTTCAGAACTTTCTATCATTTTAAAGTTATTTCCATGAAAACCAAAAGACTCAAGTCATTGCTTGCCCAGATTTCTTATGGCTTAATATGTTCCTTTTCCCAGGTAAAAGATTACTTTGTTCCCTTACTTTTTTTGACTTTGACTCAACTGTTACCTTCCCAGTAACACTGTCCCTCGCCACCCTACCCCAAATCACAGCACTCCCCAGTATTATCTGTTTCCCTTTCCTGCTTTGTTTTTCCCATGAGCATTTATGTCATTAACACACTCGTGTGTGTATGCATGCATGTATGTGTGCATGTATATATATTTGGTTATTGTCTCTCTCTGACCACCAGAATGTAAGCTTCATGAGGACAGAAGTTTGCATCTGTTTTATTCACTGCTAGATCTCTTTGGTACCTAGAATAGCACATGGTGCATAGTAGACATTCAGGAAATGTTTACTAAAAATAAAACAAAAAAAGTGATTCCTTCGGTGAGAGTTACAACACGGAGGCAGGCCAGTGAAAGATTTTTGCCTATTCTGTTCCTTCTGCTTTACTTGCTCGCGTCAGCCCTAAGTAGAGAGAATGAGGCTCTCTTTGGTTTTTGATGTTGCTACTCCTGTTTCCTACCCATATCCCTCTCTGAAGTCTGAGGCTTCGGGGCCATGTCAAGCTGGCTTTGTACTAGACTTGGAGGTGATGGGAATAAAAAAATATTCCCAGGTCACTCAAGATACTGAGCAGCATGAGTTCTGGGATTTGAATTGCACAGCACCTGGCACAGTGTTCAGTGAACAAATATGCCATTTCCGCTTTCCTTTGTCAGCCAGTGACCCACAGGTAGCTTTAGAAATGGAACAGCTGTTACTGTGGGGAAGTTCCAGAGTTTGCCTCCAATTTCATGTTGCCCTGTTTCTCCGTGATTGTCCCAGGATTACTGTGGCATGGCTTGGTCAGTACTAATTCAGAGATTCAAGAATGGACTTTTTTCATCACATGCAGATGAGCATCGACTCAAGTAAGTAACTTCCTTTTCTCCCTTACACTGCAGATTATAATGAAGGAGAGAGAACAAGTAACAGTACAGACTGGATTTTATATTGAAAGAGAGTTTGATTATTTTAGACTTTGATTTTCTGAGGGATAGGAGCCAAAGTAGTGAGCCTATTTTAGCAAAGTCAAGGGAAATCTGTAGTTACCAAAAAGGATTCACTCTAAAAGGGGTTTGAAATCAAAAGCAGTTGTCTTTTTTTTTTTACTTACTAAAATGTCAAACATGCAGAAAAATAGAAAGAACGGTAACATAAACCCTCATGTAACTTTCAGCCAGCTTCAACCACTATCTGTATTTTGCCAGGTTGGTTCATTTGTCCTTCCATTTTGTAAACGTTTTAGCTAAAAAATGTCAAAGATAAACAAAAATAGAATAGTATAATGAACTCCTGTGTACCTAGGCCCCCACTTTTTCTACTAACAGTTACAGCTGCTGGCCAATCTTGTTTCATCTATTTTCCCATCCCTCTACTCTCCTTTTTCCAGAGTTGGGTTATTTTGAAGCAAATTCCAGACACCATATGACTACATTTGTAGAGATATTTCAGCATGCTCTCTGAAGATAAGGATTCTTAAGGAAAAAAAAGAAAAGGAAAACACAGGCACAGTATCATTATTGCCTAAAGGTGTTCTTCACTTCTGTGGTCACTGTTAAGATAAAGCAGGCTCAGATTTGGCTCCGCCTAGATGTGGGGAAGGTGAAGTGGGGCGAGATGGATCGTTTTTGGCATCCAGTGAGAGTATGAAGAAAGCATTACACATTTTTTTCTCTTTAAAACATATAATTATTTATTTTTGTCACACAGATACCAGTGTTTTAAATCAGCTTGGATGTACCAAGTCCTTCATGAAGGATTCCACTTTCCCTATGACTACTCACACCTGCAAACAGCCCAGCTGGTATACGACCGAGAAGTCCAGTGGACGCTGGGAGCCATTCTATATAAGACACGATTCTTACCACTCAGGTAAAGTGCACTGACCAAGCTGGCATCTTGAGCTCAGAGGATGTTAGTTGGTGCCTCAGAATCAGTTTCTTAGGTGGCCTCTACCTCACCCCACCAAAACACACCTAAACTAACTTCTTTGTTACTACATGAACTACTGTTACAAGCCAGGTGTGTTGAAACAGAAAGAAGGTTGAGAATTATTGGTCTTGAGGCTGTTGTTCAGCTTTGCAATTTCAGGAATTCAGTTTTATTTGTTTATCCACAACAAATCAGTCTATAGGATTGAGCTCTTGTTAAGCACTTCGAAACTATTGACTGTATCAAACTAAAATGTCATTCTTAAGTTACTCTGGAATATATATCTGATTTGACAGTTAGGATTGGCTGTCTGTATAGAGTGATCTTTCCTAATGGGTATGTCACTCAAGAGATTGTATCATTGACTTAGAAGGCTTTTTGGTGAGCCAGAATTAGAACAGAGGACATAAGATACTTTTAGGGGGGATACTTTCATCAAGCTATGGTAGCCTGATATCTTGCTCTTATACACCATAAGATATTTGGGATAATTTTTAGGTACTTTCTCCCTTGGGTTGTTTCAGATAAATGAAGACGAATTCTTAATCTTTGTTGACTGTTTATCTAAACTCAGTACTTCCAGAAGCCAGGCAGGTGACAGAAATTAGAGAAATGGGGAACCGGGGAGTGTGTATTCCAAACAAAGGGCTGATTGTTGTCATGCAGTATTGTCCCAGCACCTGCCAATTCTCATTTGTCAAGGGAAGCCAGAAACCCATATTATATAGTCAGCCTTTCAGTCTGGAGATTCACATTTTAAAAAAATGCTGTAAGTCAAACAAAGTGAAAACAGATCTGGTATCTGGACCACCAAAGAGTGGCTTCTGTTCTAGGCAGGCAGACCACTGTTCTTTGGTTGACATGTCTCTATTTTTTTTCCAGATCACAGTATATTTGATCAGGAGACAGCTCTCTTATGTCCTAAATCCTCAGGAAGCACAGCAACTTTTCCTAGAGATTGGGGACACTGTGATTTCTTGACTGGATTTAGGGACCACCCTATTCTCATTAGGGGCTATTTATAAACTGTATAGGCCCGAGTGGCATGGGGCTACTGTTAAGTGTTAAGAAGGCCAGTCTTATCAGTTTATTTTTTGGCATCCAGTCTTGTCCTCAGATTCGGTGGTGTAGGCCCGTGAGGCTCCCTCTGTAGGCTGTGGGAAGGAGGGTACAGGGCGAATCACATGGCAGCCCTGGGGCTGGTTCTTCAGCTTTGCTTGTTCTGTGGAGCTGGTATCATAGCATGTTTACATAGGTGGAATAAATAGGATAATACCAATACTGGGCCTTTTAAATCAGCATAAATGTTTCTGTCTGAAAACTAACATTTTTTTGCCACCTTCAAACTCTTCCCTAGGGATCTACGGCAGGAAGGGATCCGACAGGCCCATAGTAACTGGCTCCGTCTCTCCTTTGTGTACAACCACTATCTCTTCTTCGCCTGCATTCTGGTGGTGCTACTGGCCATCATCCTGTACCTTCTCCGGCTACGCCGAATTCACCACCGACAAACTCGGGCCTCAGCTCCGCTGGATTTGCTGTGGATCGAGGAGGTGGTGCCCATGATCAGGGTACAGGTGGGGCCGTGAGGCTGGACAATGGCCGGGGAAGCTCAATACCTCGGAGTAGCTGCCCTCTGAATTCCACCACTTCCCTGGGCTGGCCTCAGATGCTGCTTGGCCTAACCTTGTGGATATTTGGCCTTGGAATTTCTACTTCAGTATCTCCTTTAATTCTTTCTCAATATCCAGGTCCTCTTCTCTGAGAGAAGCTGTAATTTAGTCTGTGAAGAATTAAATAATGAGAGATTGGTGCTAACAAAAGGGACCAACCGTAGTCCAATGGAAGCATGCCTCTACTCCTTCATCTAAGAGGTCCAGTGTGTTCCTGGGATCTAGACTTCTCTCCCCTTGCTGAAGCATGAAGTTTGGTGTTGGGCACACTGGGAGGCTGGTTGAAACCAAACTTGGAGCATCTGATACAAGGCTGAAAACATTCTAGCAGGTGCAGCAGCGCCTTGTTTCTCTGTAGCAGAGATGACCAGTTACATGGAGAACCACACCCTTTAATAGGGATCCACAATATTTGCAATACAGTGGAACAGATGTGAATTTCCAGGCAACCAAAACAACATAGCTTCCTTGCTTACTTGACAAAGAAGCCATTATGTGTGTGGTCTAAGATCCCTGACATAGTGTTGCTGATGTTAGTATGTGATTTTGTAAGGTTAGAACCCCTTCTAAATGAATGGTTCACTGAAGATTTTAATAGTATTTATCTGACGTACCTGGTGTGATCATGACAGAGAATTTTTTCATGTCTGTGTGCCTCACAGGCTGTTTGGGCATTAATTGTTCTGTTTGAGCCTTAGGTGTGCTTGGAGGATGGAGAAACTATAATGGGGATCGGAGACCTGGATTTGTCTGGATTTGGGTCATTGACCTCTAGGGTTATTTTTATGAACTCCTGAACAAGAAGATTTAAAAAAAGTTCCTTTATTACACTGCTAACATCATTATGTAGTTTAGTTACATATTTGGGTTACTTTTAAAGAAGGAAAGAACAGTATCAGGACAGTGGGCAAAGACAATAAAATCCAAACTCTTTATTAATTTGTTCCCTGAAAAACAGAAATTTTCTCAATTGACTCTTAGAATGTCTGAAAAGGAGCAAATTCTAAACTTTGGAATAAGTAGATAAATCTGTTAATAAGCCACCTGGCAGTTTTCAGAATCTTTAAGAGATTGCTCATTCACAAACAGCATGTCCATTAATGAGGAGAGAGGAAAAGCGTGATAATTACATTTTCTTTCACTGCCCTTTAGGAGCTTTGCTCTTCCAGTATATTTAGCCTTTAAATTGCACAAAGGTTTCATTTACGTCAAATCCCACCTTCCCTCATAGGACTGTCATCACACTTTACCATTCCCTGTATGTAGCCTTGAATGCCCGCCCAAGGATATGCTCCCAGAGTTGAAGTAGTTTTCTTTCCTTTTTGTTATATTTGATTTCTAGGGTTAGATGAGTAGGGGAAATGGTCCCTGGCTTTAAAGAAAAAAAAAGTGTAAAGTCCATACTGGGAGCAGAAAGGAATTAAGTGCTGCCTAAAGTAGAGAAGAAGAAATCAAGATCCTCCTATGGTGGGTAGGTGAAAGGGTAATGAGTCTTGAATTTGTTTCAGATTAGATAAAAATGGCTCTAGCAAAGGGTCTCAACAGCTTCTGTTGGAAATACTTTTCATTAGGGCTTATGTCAAAACAATTTCCTTTAATTTTTAAGAATTTTAAATTGCCTGGATTTTCTTTGACTCCTTACCTTTGTGTCACTGTGAGTGAGCCTTGCTTTATGAATGCTGCTTATAAATAATGTCAGAATGTTTTTGCTAGCCCTTGCCTACTCAGGTAACTCTTTTTTCCCCTCACCTTGGTTTCCAAATACTAGTTTTGTTTTTCTTTGAGATCTAGCCAATGATTTAGTCAAAAGGTACCTAACTGGCTAACAGTGGTCACATTTGCGTGTTCCAAATGAAGTTGAAGCAGAGGAGGCAGTGACCAGTCTACTATGAAAGCTCTTTTTAGTAAAGGTATTCTTCATCCTGGTTATAATACTAGCTACCAGTTGTTAAGCACTTGCTGTGTACCAGACACTCTGTTAAGAATTTCATTATATTATTTAATCATCATGACGGCCTTTCAGATTGATTTATTTTTAGTTGAGAAACTCAGGATACCTGTTTATCACTTATCAATATAAATGTATTCCTTATTCTTTATTTATTTTAATTAGTGTTTGAGTTTTTGTGTGTTATATCCTGTTTATTATTTTAATATTATAGGATCTAGGCTTGTCTTTGAGTAAGACTTCTCACAGTTCCATGATATAAAAATAAGGACATACTTTTATCATATCCCTAGTAAAACTGAGTATTTGCTCTTGGGGTTGGTTTCTGTGCTTCTTCCATTGCTCCCAATTAGTTAACAATTTTAAATGAAATTGCATTAGCTAGAAGCAGAAGGCACTTATTCCTTCCAAAGGGCCAATTACTTACATATATTGCTTTCTCATAATGAAATATCTGCTTATACAATCAGATAGTCTATCTTGCCTTTAACCTTCCTTCAGCCCTCAGTTTTTAAAAGATTTTTAAAGATTTATTTTCTACTTGGATTTCTGCATTTTGAGTGGTTCCCTTGTGAAGATAATTATGGTATTATAAAATTCACATTCCACTGGTTCCTTCGACTCCCCCATCTTCTTAATAACAGCAAAAATGAACCTGAATTGTTTTAGTACCTTTATTGTTACTGAGACAGGACACAGATGTCAAATTGTAGTCAGTGGCTGGCAGGAGTAATGCTTTATTAGTCTTATGGTGGCACAACCCATCACTTTTCTCTGAATTCTTGTCAGTAGAACATAATGAAAATGTGGGTAATACCCAATTGTATGGCACTGCCTTCACTTACATTGCAATTAACTCTGAGCTGTCATACTATCTTTCGCTTTGTACTTCAGCTCCTTGAATTGATTTTCCTTGGTCTAGAGAATTTAGGTGCTTGCCACCAACCTTGTTTACTCTTCTGATGTTATCCAAAGTATTCTGCCTCCCCTCAGCCTAAAAGCTTCCTTTAATTTCAAAGGCCATAGGCAGTGATTTTTAAAATGTGGTTGATTTGAGTCTGCCATGCACTTGCTAAGCTAGCCTTTTTAGGCATTGATATTTATTACCACATTCATATTTTTTGTTGTTATTGAGGCATGACATATATTAGTAATCCAATTTTTGTATATGCTGCACAGTGGTCACCATAGTAAGTAGTTTCCCCCATCATCATGTAAAGTCACATAATATGCCATACAGTATTACTACCTATAGTCACCATACTGACCATCCTATCCCCATGACTTATTTAATGACTGGAAGTTTATTGATTGCCTTTTCCCATTTCACCTACTCCCCAACCCGCTACCTCTTTGACAGCTACCAATCTGTTATCTGCATCTCTGAGTTTTGTTTTGTTTGTACTTTTGTTTCATGTTTTTGGATTTCATATATAAGCAAAATCATATGGTATTCCTCTGTATCTCTGACTTATTTAACTTAGCATAATGCCCACAAGGTCCATCCATGTTGTTGCAAATGGAAAAATTTCACTTTTTAAATGGCTACTATTCCATTGTATATATACCACATGTTCTATATCTATTTGTCCACAAAGGACATTTTGTTGTTTCCATATCATGGCCATGGTGAATGCTGCTGCAATGAACATATGATGCATATATCTTTTTCAATTAGTGTTTTCATTTCCTTTGGATAAATACCCAGAGGTAGACTTACTGTATCATATGGTTGTTCTATTTTTAGTTTCTTTGAAGAAATCTATAGTTTTCCACAGTGGCTGCACCACTTATAGTCCCACCAACGTATAAAAGCATCCCCTTTTCTTCACATCCTTGCTAGTACTTGTTATTTCTTGTCTTTGGTACTAGCTATTTTGACTGGTGTGAAGTAGTATCTTATTCTATTTTATGTTTCTCTGATGAATAGGGATGCTGAGCATCTTCCCATGAGCCTGTTGGCCATCTCTATCTTCTTTGGGAAAATGTTTATTCAGATCCTCAGCCCATTTTTTTGTTGTTATTAGGTTGTGTGAATTCTTTATATTCTTTGTTAACCCCTTATTGGATATATGATTTGCAAATATATTCTCCCATTTAGTAGGTTGAATTTTTATATTTTGTGATGGTTTTATTGATTGTGCAGAAGCTTTTTAGTTTGATGTAGTCTAATTTATTTTTGCTTTTGTTGCTATTGTCTTTGGAGTCAGATAAAATTCACCAAGGGCTTATCACCTATTTTTTCTTCTACATGTATGATCCATTTTGATGATCCAAGTCTGTAATACATGGTGAGTTAATTTTTGTGTGAGATGTAGAATAGTTGTCCAGTTTTTTTGCATGTGGCTGTCTGGTT